CTGTGGGTGAGAGGTAGATCAAGCCAAACCAGCAGCACTGTCCCCCTCCCCGTCAGACACAAACCCAAATTCTCTTACATATAGTAATGTGTGCCCTTCCTCAATGCTATGGCCACCCGGAAGTAAAAGGCCTGTCGCTTGCCATTTTGCTTCCGTGTCATTCTATAAAATGTTCTTTGTTGGGGGATATGGAATAATTAAAAATATGGAAAGTTCTTTAGTCTCCACGACCTGTTTTTTTAAAGACACGAAAGAAAAACAGAGTTGCAAGCTGCTAGAAAGAGGCGAGCTTGAAAATTACAGTTTGAGAGCCTTCCGTTGAGCTTATTGAAGGGATGGGAGATAAGGATGGGGTACCTCTCTAAGTCTAAATGATAGGTATATACAACCCGTCCTCTTACAAATAACGTCGCTTTTCGCTCATATGCGTGCTATGGCCAAAAAGTGGACGTAATTTTAAATGAAATCGGCTCACCAAAGTGATGTGTTTTCCTGTTTTCTGTTTGAGTCCTCTGGCTTACTCGGAAAGGTTAGGAGAGGAAACTTTCAAATAACATTTTTTATGACATTTTGAAACTTAAGGAGAATTTCCTGCCCACCTAACCTTTCAGAGGACCCTTAACTTACTGTTTTTTGGAAACAAAAATCCTAAATTTATTTTCATTTTTGTTTCATTTTGAAATTACGTCCATTATCCGCAATACGGGCAAATGGCCAAAAGCGGCATAATTTTTAAGAGGACAGATTGTGATATCTGTCTATCTGTCTGTCTCTGTGCGCCTCTACACGTACCTCGGAGCCCACGGCCCAGGCCACTACAACATGGTTGCAGGTGAGCACCACGTGGGGAGTGTCAGCCTGGTAGCATCCGTGCCCAGCTGACGACGCCAGCACCTCGAAGTCCGCGTCCACCTCCGGGTTTAAATTACCAAGGTCCGTGCACTCGTACACGATCATGTGGTGCACATACTGCTCGTTTCCGGCCGTGAACACCGGCTCGTACTGCAAGGGAACACAGCCAGTTTATTGAATCGTATTGAGGACGCGTAGATTATAAATGCGAAAGTGAAACTATTAGTTAAAATTTGCGTGCATTCGTTGTGAAATATATATAAGTATTATTTGCATGGTCAAGCGCGCGCAAGTCAGTGCACGCAGTCGAGTATGGAATACACATAGTGTGTATTTAATGCTCGACTGCGTGCACTGACGTATGCACGCACACGTCATAAAGAAAAACACAGAAAAACACGCGCACATTCTTAAAATGTCAACAAAACAAAACATATTTTTTTAATTCTGTCTTACCCTAATAACGTGATTCTTCTGGACGAGGTTGGGTCGCTTGAAGACCTTACACCAGTACACTGTGTCGCTGGTGGCCGCCACCTCTACACCAGGGTTGGTGAGCAACCAGGACCTGGTGAGTGGCGAATGGTGGTGGTGGTGGTGGTGCTGGCGCTGGTGGTGGTGGTAGTGGCCTCCGGGGTGTTGGGGAGGAGAGGGAGGGAGCCCTGAGGGAGAATCGGAGAAGTTGGGGGAGTGTTGAAGCGGCGGGTGTCTGCTGCTGCTGTAGACGGTGTTGGACGGGATCTTCTGTCCTCGCTCCAGCAGGAACATGGACTTGGCGCCCCTTCTGGAGGCGCCGTGGTAGTGCAGGCGCGGGCGGGGAGACTCCGGGTCCACGGGGTCGTCGGGGTGGTAGGCCCACAGCAGTCGTACCGTGTCGTTCTGTGCGTCGGGGAGAGAAAGACGGAATGAGTACCAGTGAGTGAGTACCGGTGAGTGAGTACCAGCATCAGCGCTTGAACTAAAGGAAAACTCATCCAGTTCGAAACACAAACCTCCGCTTGCCGCGAGTATAGTCACTTTAAACAAGAGAATCAACTAACCAGGTACATAAGACTTTGAAAATTATCTCCTTGAACAGTCGCCACCTCCACCAGCGACTGCTCAATCCAGAAATCACCTAATAGAACCCACAGGTGGATACCATAGTCACAAAAACAAGAATTAAACTCCGAAAGATACACTCACAAACCAGGTTAATTAAACCTGTGGAGTTGTAGCGATTTTCATTACACGAAAATCTAAGGGTCAGTGGCCGTAAATTTCGCTCTGATGTTTATTATCCAATTATGTACTTTATAAAAAAAATCATCGTGTAAGAGGCCTGGTCAAAGACCAGGGGCCAGATTCACGAAGCAGTTACGCAAGCACCTCCCCTCTCCAAGCGGGGCTGGGAGGGGGAGGTAGGGGGGAAGGTGAGAGGGAACCAGCTGTGTGACGAGAGACATGGAAATGCGTTTTCATCCGATTTGCGTACTCGCTGATGCTCTCACGCGGTGGGAATGGGAGTATTGCTGATGAACACATTGGTGGGAATGGGAGTATTGCTGATGAACACACGGGTGGGAATGGGAGTATTGCTGATGAACACACGGGTGGGAATGGGAGTATTGCTGATGAACACACGGGTGGGAATGGGAGTATTGCTGATGAACACTGTATTTTGTTTACACCTATCTCCCAAATGCACTTAAAGATACATATACTATACACAGGCAAACACTGTCACTCACGAACACAGACCGATTCTCGGGCGAGCCAGAAATAAATGGGCAGTCTCTTTTTTTCACTTAATGCTTCTGTTCACCCTCAGTAAGTAGGTATCGGGGGTATAGTAAACAAGTGGAAGGAAGGGAAGGGAACTATCAGGAGAGCGCGCCAGGTAATTATGCCTATATAGCATTTGGAAGGGATCCGGATAAGGATTTCGGATGGGACCGGGGTTAGGAATGGTAGCCAACCACTTCTGTAACAACCCGTTCTCGCACTTTCTTTAGGTCAATATTGACTTATTAAGTTAGTGCATATGTGACATACTAATTTATTGTGAATATTTTAGTTTACCTTGAAAAGCTTCATAGAAAACACCGACCTTACCTAACCTTCTTAGTATGTTAAGATAAGCATCTTATTGCTTCGTAATTACAATTATTACTTAACCAATTATAGGTATAGGTTAAGGAATAATTGTAATTACGAAGCAATAAGATGCTTATCTTAACATACTAAGAAGGTTAGATAAGGTCGTTGTTTTCTATGAAACTTTTCAAGGTAAACTAAAATATTCACAATAAATTAGTATGTCACATATGCACGTATTTAATAAGTCAATATTGACTATAAGAAAGTGCGAGAACAGGTTGTCTGTAAACACCAACCAATTAGTGGGGTGAACCAGAGGGGGTGGAAGCAGCCACACAGCTTCAAGAGTATGTATGACGGAGTATCGCACAATTGGGTGATCTAAACGCGCCAGACCCAATAGATAGGAGTCGGGGCTGTGGAGCTGGCGCTCGCTTCACGACTCGCTAGACTCTGAGCTCTTCTTGGTCTTTCAAGAACTTGAAATTCTTCTTAAATCTGTACATGTTTAAGGAGTTGAAGATTGCGATAAAACATTTATACAACACTCTGCATCGTAGAACTGTTGTTTATGGGTTCAAGATCACATAGTGTCATGATGATAACATTTTGGTTATTCAAATCAGTGTTGCAAGAATCCTACTGCTAACTTGCTCACTTGGTCTCGCATCTCTGCCGGAAGGAAACCTCAGCGGCGTGGGAGAGGAGGGAGGCTTCGCGATCACTAACCACAATCCTCAGACTTAAGGATTTATCCCTTTATCCTTCCTCTGCACCTCCCTTTCCCATGACCTCTCCCTTTTCCCATGGCCCTCCCTTTTATCATGACCCTCCCTTTTCCCCTCCCCATGCCCCACCCCCATTTCTTTGACTCCCCGTTTCTAGGAACCCCCGTTTTCAGTGACCTGTGCCTGGATGGGTTTCTGGGAGTTCTTCTACTCCCCAAGCCCGGCCCGGGGCCAGGCTTGACTTGTACTTGCGGCCAACAGGCTATTGCTTGGAGCGGCCCGCAGGTTGTTGCTTGGAGCGGCCCGCAGGCTGTTGCTTGGAGCGGCCCGCAGGCTGTTGCTTGGAGCGGCCCGCAGGCTGTTGCTTGGAGCGGCCCGCAGGCTGTTGCTTGGAGCGGCCCGCAGGCTGTTGCTTGGAGCGGCCCGCAGGCCCACATATCCACAACAGCCCGGTTGGTCCGACAATATTTCTTATACTCTCCGGGAGGATGTTGAACAACCGCGGACCTCTGATGTTTATACAGTGTTCTCTGATTGTGCATATGGTACCCTTCCTCTTCACTGGTTCTGGACCATCTGCTCCTATGATCCAACCACTTGGGCTGGACGGTAGAGCGACGGTCTCGCTTCATGCAGGTCGGTGTTCAATCCTCGCCCTGTCCAAGTGGTTGGGCACCATTCCTTTCCCCCAGTTCCCTCTCAAATCCTAATCCTGATCCCTTCCATGTGCTATACAGTCGTAATAGCGTGGCGCTCTCCTCATACTTCCCTTCTTTTTTCTATGAATCCCCCCCCCCCTTTTCCGTGATCCCTCATCCCTACCACATTTTTATGCCTCGGTCCCATAAGATCTCGGTAAAATGTCAGCCATATATTATTTACAGTGTCAGACCACAGTCAGTAAGACTCCAATCAGACATCTCTGGAGAGATTCTTAGCACCATTCTAACCTAGACCTCAGCTAGCTAGTCAGACTTCAGCCAGCCGTCCAGTCAGACCTCTGATTTCAGCCATACAGCCAGACGTCGGGCAAATAACACTTTTGCCAGTATTCTGCACAACGGAGAGAGAGAGAGAGAGAGACAGAGAGAGAGAGAAAGAGTGCGGGTGTATCGGTAGAGAAACAAGATCTCTCCACATCCGTGATATCTCCTCTCAACACATTCTCACTCCCCTCCCAGATATACCCCTCCCTTCCCCCCCCTCTCCATCCCCCAATCTCCCGACTTCTCTCACTCATTTCTCCACTTTCTCGGGTATTTCCGAAGGGGGCAATTTTTTCCCAGCCAGGATTGGTTTTGTGTTTCAGCAGTACTCTTCCAGGGATGCTGGAGGAGAAGGGTGGTGACCGGGAGATGGGTAGGATGCCTGATTGAGGAAGCTGGTTGAGGAAGGGAAGGAGGCAAGCGGGGAGGGAGAGACGAGAGATGCAGGTAAGTTTTGATCACCGGTTTATAGAATGGACACAAATTCCCTAGAACGTTTATAGAGACGTTAAGTTTCGTCATTTAATATACAAAAAATGCTATTGGTTGACTACAGAAGGAGGACAAAAGTAAATACCAGAAATTAGAACTCTTCTCCTATAAAGAGTTTAAGGAAGCTGATATTTACATTCTCTAGAAAGATGAATGAAAGACTTATATATAAATGAAGTATTCAAATCGCTCAAAGTGAATAGAAAATGGAATATTAACAAGATGTAATATGAAGAGGCACAAAATAAGAACGTAAAAACCTCTTGACATATTCCAAACAGTGCCTAGCTGCATCCATTCCTCCCCTCCCCTCCCCCAAGTATCTGTTGAACGTATTTTTAAAGCTAGATTTACATTTATCCCCATGATGTTGACCGGCAACCTGTTACACTCATCTACTAACCTTTAGCGAAAGGAGTACCCTTCCTGAACTTAAGCTTTTCCAGCATAAAGCCACTAATATGGGCTCTGAACTGGTCTTGATAGTTTCAAGAGCTTACTCATATCTCCCCTGATGGTTATGCTCATTATCTTGAATACCTCGATCATACCTCCCCTCGCCCTCCACCTCTCCAGGGAATGAAGGCCGAGCTCCCTTAACCGCCTCTCGTATGGGATCCAGGGATCAGTCTGGTCAACCTACGATGGATTTTCTCGAGGGATGAACCGAGGTTCACTCTATAATACGTGACCAAAGTTGGATTCCAGGTTCAAGTGGGACCCTCACCAGAGCCCAATACATTTAAAGGACGGTGTCTGTGTGTTTATTGCTGACGCTTCTGGTTATAAAGCCATGAAATTGTTATATATACATTTAAGTAGCGTTTTTCTCTGTGGCATAATGTCATTTGAAACTAGTGAATGATACTGTATTTTTTTATAGAAAACTAGAGCACAAGTTTATCTTTAGTTTACTTGTAGTCGCTATCGAGAGATGTTCTAGTATCCAAGCTCGGTCTGGGGCCAAACTTGTCTGGTGATGGTCCGTCAGACTGTTGCTTGCATCGTCCTGCAAGCTCACATAACTATTCAAACCCGGGATGGGGCATTGAAGGTGCTCCAGTGGATAAGAGAGAATCTAAACGGCAGTTGACAGCGACTTAAGGTGAGTGGAGAGAGAGAGACCACCACTGGAGTCCTATAGTATCAGTACTCGAACCTATCCTGTTTCTAGTATTCCCAAATGATCTTCCAGAGGGAACAGACTCATCCTTCTTAGTGTTTGCTAATGATGTAAAAATTATGTGGATTAATTCATAGAAAGATACAACAAAATGACCAAGATGACTTCGATAACAAGAAAAAATAACCCAGCAAATGGCTAGTAAGTAGATCTTATCTCGAGCAAATGGAAAACTATGAAATATGGTGCTGGGAACAGGCGGCCGGACAGAAGATACCAAATGAAGTGGTGGAGGCAGACTGAACACAAAGTTTCCAAAAAAAAAAAAAAAACAGTGGATTTTTTTCCTATCGGGGAGTGTTGTACATGCTGCTATGGCGATATGACCACTCACAGGATGAGTTGCGCTGCCCAATAAACTCACCCCCCGGGGCAAAATGTAAAAAAAAAAAAATCTGCAAAAGATGATAC